AATTATCGGTTCGATTCGGTTTCGGTTCATTCTTGAGCGGTTTTAATTCGGTTCAGGTTGTAAACAGTCCGGGTAGTAAACAGTTCGGTGTAGACGGGTCATGGTTTGTAAACGGCTATTATCCCGGTTCAAATAGTTTCGGGTTAGAAGCAGTTTCAGGTTAGAAGAAGTTCGGTTCTTTTTCGGTTCAGTTTATAACTAGTTCGGTTCTTTTTCGGTTCATTTTAAAATTGGTTCGGTTCTTCTACGGTTTAACGTTATTCGAATCGATTCCATTTCGAGTTTACTAAATTACGGTTCGAGTCGGTTTTTGGTTTCAAAAAATCGATTGTTTATCGAGTCGTTTGGATTCGGGCAGTTAAATGGTTTTGGTTTTAAATTTGATAGTACTTGTTAACCTTTTGTTGGTTAGCAAGTTTTATATATTAAGTCGAGACTTCATCATTTCTTAAATAGGCATCATATTATATACAAATTCTCATTAATTTTATTTATACATATCATGTTATGTTTCATGTTTAGCCATTCCGATCTTACTAGTATGTAGCCAATTCGTTTATAAGCGGTTCGGTTCATAAAACAATTCGGTTTGCAAGCGGTTCGATTAATAAACGGTTCGGTTTATATACAGTTCGGTGCAAACGGGTTGCGGGTTGTTAACGGTTCGTTGTAAACGATTTTTATCTCGGTTCAAACGATTTCGGGTTGAAAGCGGTTTCGGGTTAGAAACAGTTCGGTTTTTTTTCGGTTCGGTTTGATTTCAGTTCGGTATAGAACTGGTTCGGTTCATTAACGGGTTTGGTTCTTATACGGTGTAACGTAATTCGGATCGGTTCGGTTTCGGGTTCATTCACATACGGTTCGGGTCGGTTTTCGGTTTTAAAAAAACGGTTTTTTATCGGTTCGGTTCTCATTTGGGTCGGTTTGTTTCGGACAGTTAAACGGTTTCGGTTTGAAATTTGACAGCATTAAGGGGCACCATTAAGCTTATAAGGGTACCATTAAGCTGTACCTTACCATTTTTTTTTTATATACAAAAATATTCAACGAAGCTTTTTACTGTCCTCTAACAAGTAATATAGAACAATTACAAGAGATTTTCCGGTGATTTTGTTTATTTTTTAAATAGTTATATAAAAATTTGTTTATTTATTTATCGTTTAGTTATGTGGAGAATTAAAAATGACAGGGGTAGTTCTGACTCTTCTAACCATGAATGAGGTGAACGACTGCATAAGACCAGGTCACCAGGGTCCCAAATTTTGGTATTTCATCACTATATACAAAGGAAATAATGTGGATCAATGGAAAATGGTCAACTTATTGGATTTTGTAATGCTAATGCACTTTATAATCCTACTAGTTTAATCTGTAGTTTTATCATACAATTGTTACTTTAATTGTAAAATTGTTATTTTTATTAAAGTTTTGTTAATAAAAATCTTATTTGTCTTTGAAAAAAATGGAAGACAATTTTAGAATATTACATAGATCTCATTATTGATATATATAATTCCACCATTTAAATTGCGCAAGAAAAATATTAAAACACTCATGAGTCATGATCACACCTGATACTGGGAGTATGCTTCAATAATGCTTAAGTGATTCCTAATTAATTTTTTCTACACTAAGTAGTTTTTTAACAAATAAATATGCATGTACTAGTACTATTTCATAATTAGCTTACCTTATTTAACTTTTTCGATTTTTCATTAGGAAAACACAAGTCATAATTACATAATTTAAGATAAAAAATTTCCTTATCTAGAGTCATGTCATCAATACACAATCAATTAATTAAAAAAAAAATATCAAGTTTAAATGAAATATATTCAATATGGGTAGATCTTTTTTAAACGCCCTAAATAGTATATGGGACTAACATTATGAAACGGAGGGAGTACTATGTATGTTATTCCATTTCGACAATGAGTCCTCATATATTTGATAAACAACTATATCTACTGAAGCCAAGTTCATACCCAACATACTCTTATGAATTCAAACAATGCACATTTAGGTCAAAAATACCTTTCGTATTCACTCCCTCTTTCGTACAAGATACCCCTTCGCCCATATATTCCACAGTTGATCAACGTCCCATATCTGTCCTTTGCGTAGTTCATGCCAATATTTAGCCACTTTTACAAGTCAATTAATTAAGTCTTTAAAAATAGACCCTAACATGGTAACTTGTAAATGTGGTTAACTTAATTAATATTAATTAAATTAATGTAAGTATAAGATTAACAAGTTTAAGTAATTGATGTACCAGTACGGATTGGTAGATTGTAGATCTAGTGAAAGCAATTCTTAATTAATTATATAATTGTTTAGTTTGAAACTTTTCTTCTAGTAGTAAGCATTGGTCCACTCTAGACCTTAATGTAAATTCATTGAATAAATTATTATTTGTAGATAATAAGACAATTTATTTATTTATTTTATTCTGAACTTTCTTCAAGAAATTAACATCGGGCCCTTAAATTTTGTATTCTATTTCTATACGTAAATAAATAAAATGAAAACAAGTACTAGTATAAAAAATAGTTTCAACAGTAAAGTTCTTAGTATGCTAGATTTGACATTTTGTTTTAAAACAATTTGAGAAAATATAGGAATTGACAATTGGATCTAACTTGTGATTAGGAAATGTACAATAATGTTCATCACAATTGACAAAGGCATTGTTTGGTAATCGGCGGTTGGTTGTTGGTTGTTGGCTTGTTTGCTTGGCTTGTTTGACTAATTGGAAGTATTAGCTGTATAGGTTGGCTTTTTAAGTTATTGAGTTAAGTTGGCTGTTTTCAAAAGTGTTTGGTAAAATTATTAATGATTGTTAGCTGTTTATTAGTGCTAAGTGGGCTAACAAGCCAAAAGCCAATAAAAAGCTACTCTTATTAGATTTTGGCGGAAAAGCTAGCTTAAAAGCCAACAAAAAAGCCAACTACCAAACATAATTTTTTGGTTGTTTAACCAAACTTAAAAGCTAAAAGCCAAAAGTTAGACAAAAAGCCAATTGCCAAACAACCCCACAAAAATTGCTGCATTAAAAATGACAATTTCACAAGATACTTCCATTGTACTCACATTAGATATGACGGCATATCGAGCGAATGAAGGAAAAGTTTGTTATAGAAAGTTTCAAATCTTTAACTCCCATTTCTTTTTAATAAAATTTCATATCAACAATCATGTTAAGTAAATTAAATTTATGTATGAACCACAGAAATTAGTTAAAACATTGATATCCACGATTACGGTTAACAAGTTTGTAGGCATGGGCGACACCCTAAATTTTTACAAGTATTTAACAATAATGGATAATTTGCCAATTACTACCGCAAGTTAATACCACTTTATAAATTACTATCGCAAATTTAAAAAGGTGTGAATTAATACTGCAAAAAATTTTAAGATGTTGCGATTACTACCAAACCCCCATTAAACTCAACTATGACGTCATTATATCCCTTTAACCCGTGTTTGACCATGGTTAAAGGCTTTAACCAGCCCCCCCCCCCCAAAAAAAAAAAAAGAAAATGGGTTAGGGATATAATGACGTCATGGTTAAGGGCTTTAACCATGGGTTAAAGTGATATAATGACGTCATAGTTGGGTTTAATGGGGGTTTGGTAGTAATCGCAACATCTTAAAATTTTTTGCGGTAGTAATTTACAAAGTAGTATTAACTTGCAGTAGTAATTGGCAAATTTTCCAACAATAATAGTCCCTCCGTTTTTAAAATTTTTTACTTCATTTCTCAATGCGAGAGTTTTGGGAGAAATTGGAAAAAATAATAAAACATGGAGGTAGTAGGGTAGGTTGAATAATAAAAAATTATAAAAAGCAAAAGTAGTTGTGAAAGTTGGAGGAGAGAAACATAAATTAATAAAATATGATTTATGTTAGGTCCAGTAGGTGAGAGAATTAAATTAAATATTTTAAATGTTTTTTAAATATGGAAATAGCACAAGTATTTAAAAACAGTCGGAAATGAAATTTGGAGCTAGTATTTAAAAAGGGAGGGAGTGGTATATGAAATTCATGACATAGGGCATGTTCTCATATATTGAACTCAGCTAAACTGAACTGAACTGAACTAGACTAAACTGAACTGAGCTGAACTGAACTGAAACGAATATTTTATTAGAGAAGAAAATTAGGAGCGAAGCTGAACTGAACTGAGCAGAGCTGAGCTGAACTGAACTGAACTAAAATAAAAATAAACGTATGAGAACATGTCTTTACTCTTGCAATTATTAATTTTTGTTTATTATACTGCCATGTGTAAATATTGTTTGCAGTGAAAGACATATAATATGACATATTTAGGGCATGTTCTCATATGTTTATTTTCAGTTTAGCTCAACTCAGCTCAGTTGAGTTGAGTTGAGTTCAGCTCCTAATTTTCTTCTCTTATAAAATATTCATTTCAGTTCAGTTTAGTTTAGTTTAGTTTAGTTCAGTTTAGATGCGTTTAGTCTATGAGAACAGACCCTTATATAAGGCTCTAACCTTAAACCTTGAGATTAAGAATTCAAACTTCAGCTTACACAGACTACTTCATTTCGTAGGAAGTACAATGAAATGGAATGATTACTCATGAAGGAAAGAGAGTATCACGTGGCACATGAACTTATTTCGAAACACTTTTTAAATGTATAGCATATAGCAAGCGCTTTGTCATTTAAACGGACAAATAACTATGCACAATGACGAACACAGTGAGTACTCCAAGTAACTATCCTTGGTTCTTATGATCCAAAACAACTGCTAAAGAACATAGTAAAACAAAAATTATTATTTGTGTTAAAAAAAAAAATGCTTGTACGATCACATGAACAACTTGAAAACAGCAGCAATACTGGCTAGTTGCATGCATAAAATAAGAAAATTTTTGTTTAACGAATGAAGTATTCATGCAATTGATAACATTCATTACCCGTGAACTTCACCAGAAGATAAATCTATACCATGTATACTTGCTTTCTTATTTTTAAAATATAACTCTACTCAAATCAGCTGCAACGCCTTCTACCTACTAATTCAAGTTTAGATGAGATATAATACATCATAAGTTAGTTCTTAATTTGCTCCACCAAACAACTAAAAAACAACAACCCATACTTTCAACACACAATCCTGAAATTAATAACACCCCTAATATATAAAAACTTCCGTATTATGTAGTCCTTTCTTTCAGGCATAAAACATTTTATAACCCACAATCCACTTCGCTTTCGAAAGACCGAGTCTATATAGCCTTCGATTTCTACACTTTTCGATGAACTGAGCACCCAAAACACACACAAACACAGTAGGATAAGCTAAGGAAGTTTTTGTCATGTCTCCTATAAGAAATGGCAATGATGAAAGCGAGGTCCCTAGGATTCCATATGTGAATCTGAAGGATTCCATTAACAATCACAAAGAGTATTCTCAGAGTATTAAGCCTAGCATATCGCCGACCCTTGGTGAGCTCCTTAAGTGGGTTTACAAAGATGATTCTGGTGGCGAAGATAAGCCTCCGCATCATGTTGTAGAGCTTGCTGATGCAGCTTTTAAGCCTACGATACCATACCCTTTTGTGCTTTCATTTCACAATCTTACGTATAGTGTGAAGGTTAGCAAAAAGTTAAACGGGTTAGACTATAAGGTGCTGTTGAATGACATTTCTGGAGAGGCAAGAGAGGGGGAGATCATGGCGGTGTTAGGGGCAAGTGGGTCAGGTAAATCAACGTTGATTGATGCGTTAGCTAATAGGATATCAAAGGAGAGTATAAAGGGGTCGGTTCGGTTGAATGATGAGGTGTTAGAGTCCAAGCTATTGAAAGTGATCTCAGCATATGTTATGCAAGATGACCTTCTCTTTCCAATGTTGACAGTAGAAGAGACCCTGATATTTTCAGCTGAATTTAGACTTCCTAGATCTCTTTCAAAGTCGAAAAAGAAGGCTAGAGTGGAAGTGCTTATAGACCAACTAGGCCTAAGGGGTGCTGCTAATACTGTCATTGGAGATGAAGGCCACCGAGGAGTTTCTGGAGGGGAAAGGAGGAGGGTTTCGATAGGTATCGATATCATCCATGATCCCATCATATTGTTCCTGGACGAGCCAACCTCAGGGCTTGACTCTACCAGTGCCTTTATGGTGGTAAAAGTTCTCCAAAGGATCGCTCAGAGTGGAAGCATAGTTGTTATGACAATTCATCAGCCAAGTTCTCGTATTCTCAACCTTTTGGATAGGCTCATCTTTCTCTCCCGTGGACAAACCGTTTTCACTGGTACCTCGTCAGAGCTACCTTTGTTCTACTCAGAGTTTGGGTGCCCTATCCCAGAGGGCGAAAATAGGACTGAATTCGCCTTGGACCACATACAAGAACTCGAGGAATCATCTGATGGGACCCAAGCAATGGTTGACTTCAACAAATCCTGGCAGCAGCAGAGGAGGAATAATAACCTCCCTTCTCATCGACAGCCTAAGATGTCTCTTAATGGTGCAATTAGTGCTAGCATATCGAAAGGAAAACTGGTTTCAGGCGCAGCTAATGATGACTCCAACCCAACCTCAGTTCCAAAGTACGCAAATCCTTTCTGGCTTGAAGTATATGTTATCGGGAGAAGGTCAATGTTAAACTCAAGGAGAATGCCTGAGTTATTTGGCATCCGTTTAGGTGCAATTGTGGTGACAGGTTCAATCTTGGCTACCATTTTCTTGCATCTTGACCAATCCCCAAAGGGTGCTCAAGAAAGACTTGGCTTCTTTGCTTTCGCCATGTCAACAACATTCTACACCTGCGCTGAGGCAATCCCAGTTTTCCTGCAGGAGAGATACATTTTCATGCGAGAGACAGCCTACAATGCATATCGTCGGTCTTCCTATGTCCTCAGCCACGCTCTCATTTCAATTCCATCCCTAATTGTGCTTTCTCTTACTTTTGCAGCCATTACCTTCTGGCCAGTAGGCCTTGCAGGTGGTCTCCAGGGCTTCCTGTACTACTTTGCCTTCATTTTGGCATCTTTCTGGGCAGGTCATTCCTTTGTTACCTTCCTCTCTGGGGTGGTGACCCATGTCATGCTTGGCTTCACTGTCGTTGTGGCTATACTTGCCTACTTCCTCCTTTTCAGCGGCTTATTCATATCACGTGACCGTATCCCTTCTTACTGGCTATGGTTTCATTACATCTCGCTAGTTAAATACCCATACGAAGGTGTCCTTCAGAACGAGTTCAGTGACCCTACAAAGTGCTTCGTCAGAGGGATTCAGATGTTTGATAACACCCCTCTTCAGGCTGTTCCAGATATTCTCAAAACAAGGTTGTTGACGAGTATGGGTAATGTGTTGGGGAGGAACCTTACAAGCACTAGCTGTGTTACTACAGGTGAAGACATACTCCGGCAACAGGGTATTACAGATTTGAGTAGACTGAGTTGCATGTGCATCACTATTGCTTGGGGTTTCTTTTTTAGATTTCTCTTTTATGTCGCCCTGATGTTTGGGAGCAAGGATAAAAGGAGATGATTAGGTAGTGGCATCAAGTATTCAAGTATTTTCAATTTAATTTACTTTTTCCAGATTGATACTTCGGGTCGGTCAACAGTAAAAATCTAATTGTAACTTTGTAATATTACCTTTTTCCTTTCATATGTCTTCGTCCCATTCTTTTGATCCTAAATTCCCAAATTATTTGTTCTTAAAGAACAAAATAAATTATATTTGGAATCAGACCACTTCGACTCTCCGAGGGTCCTGGACCTCATGGCCTGAACCGCATATGTACAGTTCCCCCACAATTATATTGATGGCCTGAGAACTTCCAAAACCCAAACAAATTTTGCGACAAATGGGAAGGTGTCTAAGCAGTCTACAGAATCTGGTACTTAAACCTCAGTATGGGTAATGGTTGTTTGAAAAGGGGGAGTATAGCTAAAACTGCCAAACATCAAACACACAATATATGTCTGAGGTTGAAATCACAACAATATAGTTTTGATCTATACAGGTAATTCAGGTGCGGTACACTGGTATACTATGGTATCTATCATATAACATCCCTAAGACCTAATTCATCTTCGATATCATCATGATCCTCAAAAAGTTTCAGGAAACGTGCTTGCTCATTTTGCCTCTTCTTCTTCTGCCAATACTTATAACCTCCGATGAAGGCCACTATGACAATGATAGTAACAGCAGAACTGATAAGTATAACTATACCAACACTTAGTCCGTTGCCTTTAGTATCTGAACCAGAGGCAGCATTATCTACAAACAGAAGAGATGACAAACAAACTTAGACAAGGAACACAATGAATCATTTGAATCTTCTAACACCCAAAAAAAAAGTTCCATTCATTGCATAATAAGATGAAATCATTCTCATAATCAAATTTTAAAGATGGCCAAAATAAATGCATTTTACCTGAAGAAATCAAGAAGCGTAAAATTAATCCAAATTATTATGTGAAATTTAATAGAAATTGAGGAAATTACACTGCAAACTAAACTTTTCAGTAACTTGCGCATAATGATACAATAAATGTGCACCATAAAATGTTATAGGAATATTCAACCATGAACTAGACTACCTATTACGTCAATTCACTGAGTGACTCATCAGATTTACAATTCACAGGTAACAATAATTTCTTTTACATTTTTAAAATGATTCTTCTCTTGAAGGCTTATTTAAAATGTTCCCAGTTGGATATGCGTCCATTGTCGGCAAGGCTACCATTGTATTATGATATACTACAATATTAATACTCTGTAATGAGGTCATGAAATTTCCTAGTTTATATTATAGTCTACTTACAGGCACTACATTGAATTATCTTAAGACAGTACTTAGAAAAAAAAATTACCTTTACCCATATCTACACATGTGGAACAACTGAAAGTCACATTTAATTCTCCTTCTTTAACAAGAGTATATCTTCCATCATCAGCTGTAAAGTCCGAAGGACAAAACTCCCATTCATCAAATTTATCATCAGGAAAAATTAAGTCCTTTTCAAAGAACCCACATCTCTTGCACTTCTTACTTGAAAATTCTGTCAAGGGCTACAAAACAAAAATAACAATTATTCAGAACATAACAAAACAGCTCAAGCCAGTCTTATGATTGATAGTCAAGAGTGCAAAACAGACATTAAACAAGGACAAGATAGCCACATTATATGAACAAGAAAGGAATTCTTCGGGATCATATCAGGACAACAATGTACAGGTTCATGTGATTCAAAACTCCTTTTCTATTACTTTTATAAAAATTCCAAATGATATTTTAAGTATAACTTAATCTTTCTGATGTTCTTTCTATAGCAGACAAAAAGTACAGGAATCAAAACTTTGAGAACTGTACAATTTAGGAGAACCACAGGGAAATAAAAAAATAATCATTACATGTTATAATGGACTAACAAAATTATTCAATGTCATTATTCCCTACAGCATGTAAAAGACGCTTTTGGGCATTAAGAGGTTATAAGCCTATAACAAAGAAAAAGTCAGCAGCAAAGACAATTGCAGTACTACATTAAGTGATCAAGTTTAATGATGAGATAAAATAATTATTATTTTTGGGTTTGGATTTGGATTATACTTACTGTGATTACTGTCTCAAGAAATAGCTCTTAAAATTGTCTGCACTTTTCTTATTATGAAATAGCATGAACGGTTGTCTTATTTTAAAGTTCAGACTATTTTATACAGTTTAACATTAATCCATTTCGCGTTTACTAAATTATGGTTTGGAACGGTTTTTTTATTTTAAAATTCGGTTTTTTATCGGGTCGTTTGGATTTGGGCAGTCAAACGATTTTTGTTTGAAATTTGATAGTACTTGCTAACCTTTTGCTGGTTAACAAGTTTCATATCAAGCCGAGACTTCATCACTTCATATTTAGGCATTATATTATATACAAATTCTCATCGATTTTATAAATACATATCATGTTATTTTCAAGTTTAGTCATACTGCTCTTACTAGTTTACTACGAAGTAGATTATAATGTTTAGTGTATTAATGAATTATTATTGTTTTACTATCAGGTTATTAGCTACTTCTTATTTAATCATCTAATTGATATGTGATAATCATGATTTGATGAGTTGTTGTGACATCGAAATTACAATTTGATTTATAGACAGTTCGGTTGTAAGTGGTTCAATTTATAAACGGTTCGGTGCAAACGGGTTACAGTTTGTTAACAGTTTAGTGTAAACAGCTCTTACCTCGGTTCAAATGGTTTCGGGTTGGAAACGGTTACGGGTTAGAACCCGATTCTTTATTGGTTCGGTTTGTTTTCAATTCGGTTTAGAACTGGTTTGTTTTGTTAAGGGTTTTGGTTCTTATACGGTTTGACATTATTCGGATCAGTCGTTTCGGGTTTACTTAAATACGGTTCGTGTTGGTTTTCGGTTTTAAAAAATCGGTTTTTAATCGATTCAATTCTCATTTAGGTCGGTTGGTTTCTAGTAGTTAAACGGTTTTGGTTTGAAATTTGACAGCAGTGGTTACAACATTACGGATCCTTTATATCAAATGATATGGTCCAAATTACATGTCAGAAAAAGCATTATATGGAAGAAGAAAAGAAGAGATAACCATAAGGCAATGTCACATATCAGCTTGATTGAGTGAACAGTACAAGATTGGTTAGTTGATAAAATATATGAATCAATGAACATGTATGAAAAACGTAAGAGAGACTATGACAAGAATATAACCTGCCATGATTCTTCTCCTTTGAAAGTATATATAGTATTGGCCTTCTTTACATCAGGAAGAACAATCTTATTCTCTCCATTGCAATGAAAATATATTGTCGGTGTCTTTAACCAGTCATGAGTTCTGTATATTTGAATTGATTGGAGAGTGACTGCTGCAGCTGATAAATGTGCTGGAAAAGGACATTACAGCATTCAATTCAGAAATAAGGCAGGACAAATTATGGCATTGCAGAAGACCTTTAAATATATTTCAAAGCAGCTCATACCAAAATCACATAAAAAAAAATAAAAAATAAATAAAAAATAAAATAAAATAAAAAATAAATAAATATTAAAATAAATAAATATTAAAAATAAAAATAAAAAAACAGTGTGCCACATATAGAGTTTAACAATAAAAGTGTGAGCTGAGAAACTAGTATAAATGATGATTGGAAGCCTATTAAATTAAAACTTGGCTCTAAACTGTGAAAAAACAAAAAGACAGAAAAGGTCACAAGTCTGTTGTCTTTTAACTTACATATGGTGACACACCATGAGAGTTACTGTATGTCTTCTTGAACATTTCCACACATTTGGTAGACACGAGGGGGTATTTGGTTCATTAAATTGGGATGGATTGGTATGGAATCTCATACTAGAGAGGTATGGATTCTAAAACCCATACTAATATGAGATTGTTTGGTTTTAATGTTGGAATGAATTATATATTTCATTAATAGAATGAGTTGTGAATCTTAGGGGAGAGGTGGGTATGAGATTCCATAGGTATGGGGTAGAGTTATAACCCTTAGGCTATGAAATTCCATACTTATAAAGCTCCACCAAACAAAAAAAATAGATGGCAAAAGATCCAACCAAACGACCCCTAAATTACTTTTGATATTTACATAAAAGTATTGGGTTAAGCTTATTACTTAAGGGGAGAGTTTGGGAAATAAAGATTCTTAATGGCGCTAAGCCTTGAATGTTTAAGAAAAATTGTAATAAGCAAGTAACACTAGGACTTATCGAGATTATGCGATAAAAAATTTCAATCATGTTTTCTTTTCTAAAATTTTTTCCTCCTAGTTGCCTTTTGTTTACTTTGTCTCTCTTGATTCCTATTCCTTATTCACCAAAATGAGCTATATTTCTTTAATGAAGAACATTTGGTAAGCCTATAAAAAAACTGGTTTGTGCGAGAAATATTTTGAATACCTACATTTTATTAGGGGGGGGGGGGGTTAATTTGTGTGCAGAAGTCACAAATCTATAATTATTTGTTGTAAAGTAGCTGTGGTGATTAAAAAAAATAAGCCTTAAAAATAGCTGTGTGATTATTAACATATCTCACTAAATTTCATATGAATAATTATAGCTTGTCTTTCAGACTTAAGTTAAATGTACAAACTTTGTTACATCATACAGCACTGTATTAAACTTGTGAGAGGATGAAGTGATGATGAATCGCTGATAACGAGAACAAACATACTGAAGGTGTTTAATATTTAGAAATTACCAAGTACTGATGGGAAAGAAATCGAGAAAGATAATAAGGTTATAGAAAAATCCTACATCATTCATGGTATAGATCTATATCAGACTACTGAGCAAAGAAGTGTTACTAATATGGAAAAAGAGACCAATTCAATTTGAGCTGAAATTAGTCAAGGAAATACGGAAAAGACGGAGACATTGATAAAAAAAGAAAATAATAATGATTGGCCAACAGCCTTGTAAAATTTTTGGTTTGTTACACTTCCTAGTTAAGGAGAGGTGAAGAGGAAAGGATTAAGATGTAAAGTTAAAAATGTAATAAGATAGTTTGATGATTTGAAAAGATAGAATACATGCCAAAGATTGGGAAGAAACATGATCTCATTTTGAGATATCTGGTAGTGGTTTAACTGCTGAGAGAGCGGTTTAACAGC